GAGGATTTTTCCAAAGCCCATAGAATAAATGCAAAAGAGATAGTTTTGTTGATTTATATATAAAACCCCATCAGTAAATCCTGGTGATTACAGTCTGAACGAGGACATTAGACAAACAAACACATTAACATCAGAAGCACACTATCACACTTCCTGTAATCATACAGTAAAGCTTGATTACATTAGAAACTGCAAATATTTCTATTTGAGCACAAAAACCATTAAAGCTTCACACCTTTACTGTGACATAAAATGATGCGTATTTGCAGGTTGTGACTGTTTAATCCACGTAAAAGCAGTTGTAGAAGCCTAGCTCCACTTCCTCTGAGTATATAAAGCGGATTAGAATAAAACACTTACAGTAGTGACATTACTGCAAGCATGAGCTGCTCTGACCACACAAATAAAAACAAGACAACAATAATCAGCCTAGTGATGAAAACACAATTGATTACAGTAAATCTATGGATATTTTTAGCTGGGTCAATGCAAATATGTCTGTTTTTTATAAATAGCAAAAATGAGATTATTTCCTGAATTATCCATGAAATGCAAATAATAGCAACAAAAATAGTAACAGCTGGTCTGTCACTGCAGTATTTGGGTACAGGCCTGTATGAGGTGAAGTATCATTGTCCTCTGTTTCATCTAAATTACTGAAACAAATACAAATTTCATTAATAAAACTAAAATACTTATGCTCTGGGAAATCTTCAAAGCACAAGTACAAGTTGTCTTTGAGACGAGAAGGCACTGCAGAAGCCAGGAGTCCGCTTACATGTCTAGATCTAATTTGGAACATCTGACATCTTTCAAAATGTAGCTGCAACATTTCTACTGTTGACCATCATCATCATCATCATCATCATCACCCAGGCTGTAGACAGGAACACTTCCAAGAGACTTCCAAAATAAAGTCTCTTAATATAAATTACAAAAGCACATTACTTACATTTTTTATTCTAGCAATTGTAGTTTTAGTTGTGTGCAGCAACATGAAGAGGCCACAGAGTCCTGGGGTACAAGCGGTGCATAGATGATGGATGGATGGATGGATGGATTTTCGGTAATCAAAAAAAAAAAAAGAAACAAGAAAAAGAAAAATCTGGAACCCATATCCCACTACTTAGTAATGTGTATATTTGTATGCAGGTCCAAATCCAGATGCAGTTTAAAAATTCATGGATGCTTGTGCTGCCTTATATTCACTTCCTGATTGCATTATATATTTAATATTCTGCATGTCCTTCATTTCTCTATTTGCTTCACAGTGTCACCACAAGTTTGATCACAGCTGCTGGTGAAAACCTCAGACTTTTATTTATAGCTCGTTTTTATTCACCAATGGGTTTGTTTTAGCTTAAAAAAAATGACATAAACAAAAGCCAGTAAGACACTGAGTTAGAGATCTTAATCATATGTTTTAACTATTTCTATGCTGTTTTTTTCTTTATTTTAATTTTTCAATAAAAATGCGTTGTCCAAAATTATTCCAGCTGCACACTTTTGAGAAAATGCAGCTTCTATATCGTTACAGATGTGATTTCTATCATGTTCTACTTGTTCTAATACATTATAAACTGAGAAAAACTGATGCTGTAGTCGGTAACTAGTAACTTGCATGTCATTGTTGAAACCTAAAAGTCCAATTAAAATGTGTGGAAGCTGCATTTTCTCGAAAATATGCAACCATTTCAAGTGATACTGATAATTATTTTAATGAAAAGGCAAAAAAATCACTTGATTATATCATTTTTGCCCCAAAGAAACGTACCAATTAAACAAAAATTCACCATAAATCAAGTTTTAGCATAGCTACGAGTCATTCATGATGAATTTCTCAATCGTACACAATATTTAGGCCGACATGACTGCATACATAGTGCGAGTGGATAAATGTGCTTTAAATTAACAGATTAAAACAAGCGAACACATCTGAAACTCAGCATTGTTAAGCTGAGCTCCATCCTCCCTGTTGCTGTACTCAGTCCAACCACTTGATGGCGACATAAATCTACGCTTCAACCACATCCTCAGCTTCTCTGGAGTCTCAGCTGTGGTTATTATCCACAACATCTTCTCCACTTTTTACTTTTAAAAGTTTTATCCCAGAAAACACCCACACTTTAAGGCAGTCCTGTATTTTAAACTGTCACCGACAGATTGGGCGTCTCATCAGCTTTGTTATTGTGGTTTTACCTGCACACCTGTCGGGATTTGTGCCGTATTAGTTAGAACAGCTGAAGAAATCCTCATGAAATCACAATTGCACTATTTAGGGTCCGAGCACCCAAAACGGTACGAAGGCCCTATTGGAACTGTAGACTTTTTTATTATTATTTCTTCATGAGAAAGAGACGTGTTTTTGAGGCCCTAAACGTGCTCGAAACTGCACGAAACTTGCCACACTCATCAGACCCCGTGAAAAATTTTATAATTTGGAAAAAAAATACACACCTCACAACAGAAATTGCTCCATAGCGCCACCTTGAAAATTTCAATGGAGTCCTGTTGGAAGCACGTTTGCCCTAGAGCTACGCAATTTGATAGGCCTATAGAGCTGGTCGGCACAAACAAAAAAGTCTGCCTGGACTTTGCTCTAAAATGCAACACGGCTCAACTGCGCCCCCTACAATATTTCAACAGAGTCCCATCAGGGCTACGTTTCTCCTACAGCTACGAAATTCACCACACATGTGTAACAACTCGTGACGCACAAAAAAGTCCATTAGCATGTTTCTGTAAACCCAACAGGAAATCCGCCATGTTGGAACAACGGCGAGCGTGTCGGGCCATTTGCTCTCAAAAATGGCCATTTTTGGCCATTTTCAAAATCTATCTCCTCCTACAGGGAAGGTCGTACACACCTGAAATTTGGCCAGCACAAAGTACAGGAGGTGGTGATTAAAAGTTATTAAAACGGTCTGCACAAGTCTGACGGTGTGGAAATGGCGCCCCCCTGAATTCGGCCACAACGCTATAAAACACCAGAATCTGAGACGTGATGTGTAACTGGCCTGTGTGTGCTCCGATCGGCCTGAAATTTTACACGCGTGCTCTGAGTCTTAGCCAAAGGTCGTTTCCGCCATGGCCAACACGCACGCACTAAACAGGAAGTGGCTCATAAGTAGGCTGCATGTGCTCCGATCTGTCCCAAACTCAACATGCCGGATCAGAGTCCCGCCCGGAACATGTTTGCGCCACAACGTGTCGTGCGCGAAGGCCGACAAGCGTAAGGCGAGGACCCGTCCTTTTGCGGCTTTAATTTACCTTTAAATCTCTAAAGCGTAGACGAAATCTAGAGACTGTGAATCATCTGATAGAGTATTACTGCATGAAAAAAACTGCCAAAGATGCTTAAAGAAAGAAAGTGAGGCTGGGGGTGAGCCTCGTGAATTCATCATTCCTCTCTAAATACTCGCAAATATGTTGATATTTATTTCATTATATTCAGAACTGTAGCTGCAGCTTGACAGAGCATATAAAAGGGAATTGGAATTCAAATTAAATGTAATGTGCTATACT